CATACATACACACACACACATATATATATATATATTTATATATATAAACATGCGTAGATAGATAGCTAGGTACATGCGAGTATATATATAAATGCAGTAACCGAGAACACGTCATCCGACCGGATGATAACTAATACATCTTACCTGAGTATAGTAAAGAAGGCTTTGCAGAAACTGTAAGATACGCTGCCGCAACGCAAACGCTCGCGGACAGGCCGTACGTGCTTTCTGCATTGTAGCTTGGCCACCTATCATCCATGTTTGCGATACCTGATGAGCGTATTAACGTGCATTTGAGGTATGTATAAGATTATATACACCTGTTGTATATTATATATACGTATTAATCACATGTAAGATTATATACACATATTATTCACATGTATGATCTGACCGCCTATCATCCATGTTTGCGATACCTGATAAGAGTGTTGGAGTAAATCATAAGCCATACATGCGGTTTGTATACACATGCGTCTAATATAGAGGCGATTTAGTTAGACAATCCGGTCTTATAATTGCTACGTCTGATAGGATAGGTAGCATGCTGGTCCTAATAGTTTACTCTAACACTAGCCTCAATTGTTATTCAAAACACCTTCAAGAATTCGATTCGAACTATGTACAATATTAGAAATAACGGAAGTCTTATTTACGCTGGCATACATAGCTCTTGCAGAGATCGGTAATCGCATCAGCTGGGTACAAGTCCATGATGTACTTAAAGAAGTATAGTCACGAGCAACGGGCGAATGTGAGCGACATATGTACATGTATGTAGTTTATATGCTCATGTACATAGTTCATATGCACATGTACATAGTTTATATGTAAATGTACATAGTTTATATTTGCATGTACATAGTTTATATGTACATGTACATAATTTATATGTACATGTACATAGTTTAAATGTACATGTTCATAGTTTATATGCTAATATGCATAGTTTATATTTACATGTACATAATTTATATGCACATGTACATAGTTTATATGCTCTTGTACATAGTTTATATTTACATGTACATAATTTATATGCACATGTACATAGTTTATATGCTCTTGTACATAGTTTATATGTACATGTACATAATTAATATGCACATGTACATAGTTTATATATATCGCCACAGATGTGCATTTCAAGCTGATAAACGCAAACCCCTCAAGACCTATCAGCGCAAGCATTGGCGTTCACTCGGTCAGCAACTTCCCTGCTATTGATCTTTGCAATTATTAGGGTTTTAATGTTTTTAAGTAATTTCTAACCCCTACAGCAGAAATCAAAAACCCCAAACCTTAAAACCACAAACCCTAAAACCAGCATGGATTGGTAACTCAGTATTGCCTGCAGCTGTACCTACTAACAGGCACACCGCAACAATACCTTATTCTCCAGTCCTTTACAGTGGAAGAGATGTCTTGACAGCAAGGTGTACTTAGTCAGTGACGTACGCGTGAGGATCAGGGGTAGAGGCCACGGAGCTTTATACTCGAAGGACATGGCTTCCAATCCTAACAGAAACAAAGATGTTATAGTAGGTATACGTATCAGAAACAGTGATATTATTGTAGGTGTACGTATCAGAAAAAGAGATGTTATAGCAGGTTTACGCATCAGAAACAATGATGATATAGTAGGTATACGTATCAGAAACAGAGATGTTATAGTAGGTATACGTATCAGAAACAGAGATGTATAGTAGGTATACGAATCAGAAACAGAGATGTTATAGTAGGTATACGAGAGGTTAGAAACTAGTAGAACTCAATACACTGAAGTGGGATGATTGTAATACTGAATAAAGGTATAGCTTCAAGTCTCTACAATGGCGTTTAGTAGGCAGTCTATGTGTAGATTTTGAGAACAAATAGACATTTGATGTAATAAGGAAGACATGTGGAAATGATCGAATTTCTTTAAAATCAGAAATACACATAGATGCGTAAACACTCGGGAGCCTCTATACACACACACACATATACACACAGACACAGACACAGACACAGACACACACACACACATATATATATATATACTACATATAGAACTAAATATATATATATATATATACATATAATATATATATANATATA